CGTACGCCTCAGGAGAGCTGTCAGGCGGAATGTATGCGTGTTTGTCCGCTAGAACAGCTGCCGTTCGATCGTTTGTTGCAGGGATTTCCAAATCCCACCTACCATCAGACTGCGATGCAAACTTCTGCCATAGTATCTGTCTCAGAACTGTTAGCTCAGAGGGTAGTTCACGAAATCAGGAAGCCGGTGGGCGCTCGATGACTGCCTGGGAAGCCTAGTCGCAATCATCCTAGAGGTAATCAACCCCTTCTGGGCTCAAAGTCGAATGGCCAAACACACATTTCCAATCCTAACGGCCTAGCACGTAATTGGAGTGTTTTAAAGCCTGCAGTTTGCGCTCTTCGATCATTTTTGACCAATCACGCTTGTACGCTGTTCTAGACCCCCTCGATGGCTGGCTCAAAGAGACCCACCTTAAGACAGTACGAATTAGCACCCTTCATTTTTCGCAGTCAGAAGGCGGATTTCGGACTTCAACAACGAAAATTCTACAGTCGAATGGGAGCTCAGGTTTGACATACCTTTCACATTGAGCATGCACGAAGGCTTTGGTGACACGGAAGGAATTTCGATTGAAGATTAAATTGAACCGCCGGTCAAATTAAAGCTGCTCAGTGGATTAGTTATCGTCCAGTTGGATTAATTTTTGCATAGTTGTAAGTTCATCATGCACCTAGAAAGTCAGCTCTTGAAGAGGTGGTGGAAGTGGAACCTTGAACTGACTGGTATCGAACGGAAAAGTGAAAGCAGTGACTTAAAAATGACGATGATACGTGGATTGAGCTCTGTAATCCCGAGTTCAGCAAACTGTTAGAACATCAGTTAAGGTCCGACTTAATGCTAGGAAATTAGTGGGGCTGACTTCCGTGGCCCTCCAAACAGGACAGGAGAATAGGTACATTCCGCCCTTGTAATAAAGTTGGACCAGCGCATAATTCTAGAAAGGAAAAAATATTCCCGTGTCCTAACTCCAACCAAAACCCTAATATAAAACTAAACCGTTGGCCTAATCTTGACCCTAACCCTACCCTAAATCTTGACTCCGCGGTTAACACTGGCACTTACCTTAACTCCAAACTTGAGTTTGACTTACCTTACCGTAAACGTTAAATCCGGCTTTAGACCTAACTCTTAACTTAACCCTAGCACTAGCCCTAGACCTAACCATGATTTCACTGGAAGTTGGCCCAAAGCCAGCCGTGTTGCAGGCAGTTCCTGTTCTCTTCTCCTGTCTGGGGGGGGGGGGGTGATATAACTCAGTCCTACCGGAAAATTTAATAAATACAGTTTTTTAAAACTACAAACCGAATATTGTATACGGACTGCGAATTCCAAATAAAGACAATGTTCCCTGAATTGAGTCAAACTTGCTCCTCCAAATATGCACACCTAACGAAACGATCGTTTTTTATTTCAAAAGTTAAAATTATATGAAAACCTAGGACGATACAGCGATGTGTCAGAGAGAAGAAGTTTTGGGGCATCTCACTGGCATACACCGCATCACATCAATTCCTCAATGCCTCGGGCAAAATTCTAATTGCCGAATGCAATTGGAACTTCGTTCCAGGTCTGGATTAAGAATTCCCTCCTGCGTTTTAAGTTGAACAGAAATCACACCAGTTAGTTCTGAGCAGGTCCACATGTGCACCATTAGATTCCGGTCCGATGGTTGCGTCGGTCACGAGGGGTTCATTTCCCATTGGTCATTCAGAAGGCCTTTAAAGTTGTTTCAGTCGTTTGGAGGCGCTTATGCGGCGGTCCAGGGTGAGATTGATGTAACCGCGTGTCAGTGCAGATGACCGATGTCCCTTCCCTCACAATCGCTGATACCCCTCCTCCATTGCCGGTCGCCGCTAGCGCTCTCTCTCCCTCCCGGCGCCACACTTCTCACCAGTTGTTACGCAGGCGGGACGGTATCACCACTCCCCACCTCCCTCATCCAGTCCGAATATTTTACTGGCTTAACTGTATCCCTCTTATTGTATTGGTAACGATCAGGTTGGACACAAGAATATGGACCCCCCTAGTACAGGTGGCCTTGGCCTAAATTCCAGGGGGGGGGGGTTAGGGGGTTAGCATTAGAGTGAAAGTTAGGACACGGGAGATAAGTGTCACTCCGACTGGAATTTATCACGGGGCCACCTGTATTACGAGGGGTCCATATTTCCGTGTCGGATCAAGTGCCATTTATATCCAGAACATTCTTCCACCAATAATATAACATTTATTTCCTTCTAAGCCTGTTTCTATCCTGTTCGCCTGTACGTGCGCGATGGGTTATTTAACGGCACCGTTTAGTCTATTCTTCGTCGTGAAATATCCCCACTGCCCCATGTGTGCGTCATCCTCAACGTTTTCAGTCGCTACAGGCTTTAACAAGTCATGCCTGCTGAGGACTCTTGATGAGGACTTGCTGCTAGCATCTTACCTCACAAAAGTCTTCAGTCGTGTTTTTTGTGGTGTGGGATGTTCGCTCAGTGTCTTCAGGTAATCTTCACAGCAAATATTTCGGTGCAGAGTCAGAAGTTTACGTTTGCGAGTTGACTATAACGCCGCTATACTTTCCGGAACCTTTCACCACCTTGAGCCTGTTTTTCAACGTCTCATTCGTCCCGGTATGAGTTTATAGAAGGCGTGCATTCGAAAGAGGACGCTATCTACCGGTGAACCTGTGCAAACAGTTAGATCATGAAGTCAGTGTGGATTTTTCGTGGCAAGTTTACAGTAGGTGGGCTAACTCATGAAATGTCAACCGAAATTCTGAAATGAGTTTTCGTTTCGAAAAGATTAAACAAGTAGAGTTGTAAGACTAATCATCATGCAGCGTAATTCTATAATATATCCGTTACCTCAGGATGCCGACTTTCGAACAAACTTCTTTCCGGCTGCATGCAAAAACTACGATCTGTAAAAAATGACTACTTAAGTAGCATGAATTTTTCTCATTGATTTTCGATGGCCCTAAACGTCTAATTATATTTTATGGAAAACATGCATAAAATTATTCATTCTTTTCCTCATTCGGTAGAACATTACGTCTTCTTCTAATTTATACTCGAAGGAGGGACATAATTTGGTTTTAAAAAATTTGCAATTGTGAGATGTTTAATACCGTGAAATGGCCGTTCATAAATCGTCATGTCTCTGCATTTACCAGTGTGGGTCAAATCCACTGCTAAATTTTATGAACCCTATATGGCCCCCTTTACTACCGTAGAGAAATGTGTGGTTTTTCCTACGCGGAAAATATACGGCTTGTAGTTTGGAAACCCTGAATCTTAGTGTTACGGTAGAGCGGGTTCAAAATTATTGGGGAATTGGAAAGGTTTTCGAAAACCGAGTTATACCCTTCCTTCAAGCATAAAATTGGAAGAAGACGTAATTGTCTACCGAATGAGCGAAAGAATAAATATTTTTATGCATGTTTTCCATAGAATATAATTGGACTTTTAGAGGCTTCAAGAATCAAGAGAAAAATTCATGCTAACTAAGTAGTCATTTTTTACAGAATGTAGTTTTTGCATGTAGCGGAAAAGAAGTTCATTCGAAAGCCGTCATCTGAAGTATCTGAAATATTATGGAATTATGTTGCAGGCTGACTAGTTTTACAACCCTACTTAATTAATATTCTTCGAAATGAAAACGCATTTCGGAATTTCGGTTGACATTTCACGAGTTAGTCCACCGACTGTAGGTCCCCCATTTCACTCCTCCTTGGTTATCATGTTTGTTCTATTGCTATATTCACTTTCATACAGTTCTCCTCCCCCCTTTTCATTCCCACACATTCCTATGAACTGTGCAATATGTTCTGTGAGTTTGATTTCTCTAGCCCCGAAAAGCTCTGAGAATTATATACTCACGACATGCCACTATGTCCTTGTTCATGTCTACTGACTGAAGTGATTGCAATTTCAATGATTATTCTTCACTTACGACTCACAGCAGTGGCAGAAGAATCATCACGCAATTTGGTGACACGAGCTGACACCTACCATACCTTTACTTCGATCGTCTGGATTTTTTAATCTGGAGCGCGTCCTGTCGGTCCAAATCACTCGACTCCACCGTACAGCACGTCATAGGCAACCTCGCATCTACCATTTAAATCCCGCTTTTCTATGAGCAAAGCCCAGAAGAGGTACTTGTCTTAAGCGTCGGCCACTGAAACTGAGGCCACATTCAACCGTCAACGGAATATGCGAAGAGATTCC